AGACCACAGGCTGGCTAGTCTTAATAACCTTGCGAACGACCTGGGAGACCCACACCTGCGAACAGGAAAGGAGGGAAACTGGATCAACCCAAAGCGCATCCCCAGACACAGAAGCCGTGGCGTGCAAATAACAGCGGAGGGCCGCAACCAGAAACAAAGGATGATGCACCGCCGGCCTGACCAATCAAGCTTCAACAACCCAAGGACCTCTCCAGAAAGCAGCAGTCTCATTCTTCGCCAGAAAAGAAGGAGATGGTTGCAGACGAACAAACCAATCACCACGACCAAAAGAGCAGAAACCCCTGCGCCGGAGGAGAGCATGAAGCTCCCTGACCTGACCCCAAGAGGCCAATGCCAACAGGAAAAAGAGCCTTCGAGAAACAATCCTGAACCGAAGGGGCCACAACAAACCGAGGAGAAGAGAGAAAGGAGAGCACTCTGTCCAATGACCAGGACAGCTCAGGTGGCGCATGAGCAGGTCAAAGGTGAAACAAAGCACCAGACAGCTTGCAAAACGGCACAGAAGTAACATCAATACCGAAAGCAAGCTGAAGCAACTCCACGAGCGCCGCACGATAAGAGGTGAAAGTATTTGGCATAAGATGACAATCCCGGAACAACCAAGAGAGAAAGAACACCACCACCCGAACCAAAAGTGAAGCACAATGACGAAGAGTCAAAAAGAATCGGAAGGACTGCCAGGAAACTTTATACTGCCGCCGAGACGAAGCCCGCAGGTGGGACACTAACAAACAAGCCATCTGATCACCATAGAGATGATAAACTCGAGTCAAAAACACCATATGCGAAGACTCGAGAAGATCGAACCAGCCATGTGACGCACCGATCTGATCTGCTGGAAAAGGCGGAGCCGCGGGAAAACCTCTGGGTTCAGACACCAAGCAAGCAGCGCCAGAAACCAAGGCTGGGCCGGCCACCACAGGGCTAAAAAGACTATTATTCCCTTGGTACGTCTCCAAGCGAGTTAAGACTTGGAGCAACAGCTGAACCGGGGGGGGAAAAGAGGTACAGGAACCACCACCTCGACCAGTCCTGCCGAAAGGCATCGACCCCAAAGGCCTCGCAGTCGCGGAAGGGCGTCATATACAGCGGAAGGCGCCTCACCCACGCTGACACAAAGAGGTCCATTTCCAGGCGCCAGAACGTTTGGCAGAGCCAATGGAAGGAGATGGCATCGACCGTCCATTCTGTGGAAAGGGGAATGAAACGAGACAGGCCGTCCGCCAGGACGTTGGACACTCCCCAAACATGAACTGTCAGGAGAGCCAAACCCCGAGAACTCAGCAGACTAGTCACCCGAAGCAACCAGCACCAAAGAGCCAAGGACCGCATCGAATCCCCTCGGTTCAGGCAAAGAACCACCGAGCAGCAGTCCGAATGGAGCCAGATCGTTGATCCACGGGTGACTCGAACCCTCCGAAAAGCAAACCACACTGGCGCGAACTCCCGCACCGTGCTGTGGGCCTGACGGAAGGACAGACCGCACCGTCCCTGGCCGGCCTGGTGAACACTGGTGACAAAGCCCAAGCCGAGAGATGATGCGTCTGTTAACATATCAAGCGAGGGCTCAGGCAGGCGCCAAGGCACTGAACCCCGAAAAATCCGAAGAGGAAGCTGGCGACGCAGCAGCTGATGCAAGGCCCCGGGGGGTGGGGTGTTCCGAAGTAATCAGAACCGCCAACGAAGCCAAGCCTGACCCGGCGGGTAGACCATCATCGCAAAGTTCAGGCTCCCGCACAGACCCTCGAGCCCCCCAGAAACAGGCGCATGTGGGATCGAAGCCGTAGGAGAGACTCCGGAGGAAGAGACAAGAAAGCGGTCCGAGAGTCCCACACAAGACCCAGCCAGGTTCAAACCTGGGAGGGAATCAGATGGGACTTCCTCCAGTTCACCAAGAACCCGAACCCGAACCCGGCGAGCTGGGAAAGAACCAAATCCCTGGCTAGAAGATAAGAGGACCGGATGGGAGCCCAAACCAGCCAGTTATCGAGGTAGGCCAACACCTGAACACCTAAAAGACACAAACGGGCCACGACGACCCGGGAAAGGCGCGTGAACACTCGAGGTGCCAGATTCAACCCGAATGGGAGAAAACGAAAGCTGTAACCCTGACGCCCTACAACAAAACCGAGCCAGACCCTGAACTCCGGATGAATCGGTACGTGCCAATAGGCATCCCGGAGGTCCAGGGATACCATCCAAGAGCCCAGTGCCAACAGGAGCCGAACATGGCACAGTGTAGTCATCCGAAAAAAGGGTAATAAACCCAGGAGTTCAGACAGGACAAGTCCAGAATGAACCACAGGTTCGAACAGTCCCGTTTCGGCACTGGGAACAGATGGGAAACCCATCTGAGGGACGTCATCGTTTCGACCACATCCAAGCGCACCTACTCCAAGACGACTTGACAGAGCTCAGGGGAAGAGGCCTGCCCCGCCAGCCCCGAACCCCCCGAAGGAGGAGGGGCCACCCACAGCCACTGCAGGCCTAAGGAAATGACCTGAAATGCCCACAAATCGTGGGACCAGGCGTGAACGAATAGCGCAAGCCTCCCTCCATCGCCTCATCAATGGGGCGAACCGCTAAAGGGCCAGCGCCTCTTACTAGACCCCGAACCTCACTCAGAGCAAACACCGCGCCGACCAGCTGAAGGTGGGTCCGAAGGTGGGACCAGACCCGAAACTGCCACCAGCGGCCTACCTCGACGAAAGGAACCCCGAGCCCTGACACGACCCCTCCAGAAAGGCTCCCCCCGGAGAACCAACAAGTCAGACATAGGACGACAACTAGCCGAAGCAGCCTGCAAATACTGCGCCACGGCAGAATCCACAAAAAGCAGAGGACAAAAAGGAGAGGACATCCCAATCGCCAGAGCCCAGGCTGATTCCAGAGGGGAGGCAAGCACCGCCTGCCGACACGCGAACCAGGAAGCATAAAACAGTGAAACCACATCTCGCAGGATCGGCGCAAAGAGCTTCAACAAGGCAGCTGACGAGCGAGCCGCCGAGCTTAAGGCACCGGACCCAGGAACGGCCCCATGCATCTCAACATCCTCTTAAGCCAGTCCGAAGACAGCTCCAGGAGGGAAAAGAAATGCAAAGTCGAAGCAAAGAGGCCCCGGGCGCGCAAGTTCTCAGCAACCAGTGCAGTCGATAGGGAGGAAACCTGCACAAGAACCTCATTGAGGTGCTCAAGGTCGTCCCCCAGGAAAACCTGAACCACCGTCGAAGCCTCGTGCCAATCAAGCGTGCGGGAACGACAGACAGAAAGAATGCCAAGCCTCCAAAGCAAACACAGGACAGTCCGCCAGCCAGGATAACTCCGGAACCTCATAATGGACCCAGAAAAGGAACGACGTCCCAAATCTGAAAGATGACGGATCCATAACAGAGGCATAATCCGGGTCACGCAGGAGGTAAGCCGCAAGGGCCGCCATCACTGCAGATGGTTGAATGCGGAAAGCCGAAAACCTCCGGAAAGACAAACCGACGCAACCCCTGAGACAAGGGAACCGAGCAACCCTCGAACTCGCACAAAGCGAGGGTGGACTCTGGGGTCACATCCATCGGACCCGCGCACCCCCTTGAGGTTTCCCAGGGTCCTGAGACGGAACTCACACTCGGGGAATCCCAGGCAGGGTTATCTTGTTACCTTGAGATGATTTCGGGGCTTAGTGTCCCCTCGGCCCGGTCCTCGACAAGGCCTCCACCCCCAGGAAGCAGCCCGTAGCAACTGTCTCCCAGGTACCTATTTACTGCTAGGTAACAGGGGCATCAGGGTGAAGGAAACATTTTGCCCATTTGTCTCCGCCTCTACCGGGAATCAAACCCAGAACCTGAGGACTACGAATCCGAAGCACTGTCCACCCAGCTGTCAGGTGCCCAAACCTGCCCAGTACCTGTCAGGGTACTGCCAACCGGCACCCAAAACTACCGAGCAACTCTCTATAGCTGAATTTCAGGAATGTGTACACTCACGGAGACCTAGCAGGGGGTATTACCAGAAGAGAACCGAATTCATAGCAGGGACAAAGGGGCAACAAGCAAGGCAGACCCCCCTCCCCCCACCTGGCAAAAATAAAAATAAAACCCCGCAAGAGGACAACCTACCCAAAAGGAACAGAGCCGGCCGCTATGAATGGTGAAAAAATACTGCGCAGCACCCTGCATCCTGTACCAGTGAAAACTGCCTCCTACCCTAAGGTAAACAAAGGAGACAAAACCCCAAAGCACCCAAAGGGCAGCCAAAAAACCGAGCTGTAAATCCGCCCAGCAGAGGCAGGACCCAAGGAACTTGTGGAAGGTGGCTCCAAGCCCCAAGGGCAGTACTTACAGGGCACCTAGGGACAATAATCTTAAGCGCATGCAGCCCGAGTACTGTAGAATAACTCCTGGCTCGCACACCCCTGAAGGACAGTCACCACACCCAAACCACAGTGCTGAAAATCACTGGAGCCAGAGCACACGATCTCAGCCTCTAGCATCAGTCTTAAAACTAAAGGGTGGATGGCCAGCGTGGGTCTGGGGCTCCCCTTCCCCCTCCCGGGGAGGGGGAGCTGTGCAGACAGCGGTGCGGCGACATGTGACGTCATGCTCGTTTGCTCATTTCTTTTTGGGGATTTCTACTCACTTGTTCGGCCTTTTGTAGTAATTTTCACCAGAATAGGAGTTTGTTTTGGAACACTTACCTTTCTGGGTGCCTGACCCAGTTGATGGCAGACAAAGAATGCTTCCAACCACACGGGGGTTTCTATAGGCCATTGCTCCCCATGCCTCTCTGAGGGAGCCAGGTTCTGGCTCGTGGTCCCCAGTAGGCCCACAGAACTCCATACAAATGACTGATGCCAAAGTCTGACATTAGCATATCAGCCTGGATAGCTCCGGGTTGCCGAAGGGGCTCCCCCCCCCCCTCCCCCCGAAAAGAAGTTACTTATATTTTGTTAAATCGTGTAACATCATATAAGTGAAAGCATGACTTACTTGATCTTTAGATCTGTGAAGGTAGAGAGATCATGCGAAAGTTGATTAACCAAAGAGAGTAGGACATCTTGACTGAGAGGGCAAGGAGTCATGTTGAAGACTTGTTGTGGGTTGACACGTTCACATACAAACACCACAAGGCTCAGGTCAGATGCAGACAGTGCCTGTAGGAAAAATATATTTAATCAAACACACTCAGACAAAACCAGGAAAGTACAATTACATTAACACTTTTGCGTTCCAGCGTGAGCCCCTCAGACTTCTCGCTCGTGCTCCTGGCGTTTCGGGCGAGTGTGTGGTGACACTGAAATGTGTATACTTTTTTCCCGTTTCCTCACCTCAATTTTCATTGTATGTCTTTCATTTTGGAATCAAATTGTTTGCAATAGAATGCTCTAAAGGGATATATTCATATAATGTCCAAAAGCCCGGAGTGCCACCCGCACCAAGCACAAAATGTGGGTGATCATTAGCCGTGGGCGCGAAACAACAATAAAATGTATATACAGTGTATTTTACCTCAATAAACTTATTTCAATTTCAATTTCAATTCAATCTCCACTCACTAATTTTTTCACTAATTGTGTTTCAAATACTGTTTGAACATATTTTGTATCAATAATTGTTGCATATTTGAGTATACACAGGCGCACACAAATGTTTTCAATTACGGCAATATAATATGTCATTACAGTCTATTATATTGTATGTTCTGCTTATATTTGTATATATTTACACACACGCACACGCTATCTGCTTATATGTTTACATATTTACACACTCGCACACGCTATACACACTTTGAAGCACACTTAGAAGATTTCTAGACTGTGGTAGTCATTGAAGCAGTCGACAGCACATAATGGGATACCACACGTTTCACACCATGTTTGCACAAGCTTCCGTTTCTTGTCTCTACGTGTCGTTGTTTTACACACCAAGCAATCACGTTGGGCTATTGCACGCTTCACACCAGGTGGCAAATACTTAAGTTTGTGTGCTAGGAAGCCTTCAGTGTGAGCGAGGCGTGGAGTACCAGCATGCTGCAACAGTGGGTTTATGATGGGCCGCTGAATACCTGGGACATCTTTTGCAAACTTTCCTAATAACTGTATTGCAGCATCAAATACAAAGTCACGGAAAGTGGGCTTACGTCCAGTTCTCACAAGGTACATGTTGAAACAGTTCAGCATGCTCATGTCCACAAGATGGAAGAACACTTTTTTCGTCCACCTACATGTCTTCCGCACACACTCTGCAGTGCCAATCATCATGTCTGATTTATCAATCAACCGCATGTTGATATTATAGTCTAAAACACAGTCTGGCTTATATAGTGGTGCGTTTGTTTTATGGCTCACTTTCCCACTGTTCACCATTGTTCCATCATGAATTGTTGTCAACAAGTTCACCTCTCTTTTGTCTTTCCACCGAACTGACAGAATGTTATCACTTTTCCTTCTCTGACACTCACCAACTGCAATGTCGTTGTCAAACACAGGCATTTCCCTTCGTTGTGGCTTTACTGTACCAACCAATCCGGTTCTATTTTCTAGCAAGAACCGAGCTAGCAAGGGACTTGTATAGTAATTATCTGTGTATAAAATGTGTCCCTTGTTCATCCACGGAGCCATGATGGTCTTCACTACACTCCCCGAGAATCCATGTTCGTCGTTACCGGGAATGTCTACATCACTAGCCGAGTACAGAATCATGTGTAACACGTATCCTGTCTCACAATCACAAAGAACACAAAATTTCAGGCCAAATCGGTTTCGTTTTGAGGGAATGTACTGTTTGAATGGAACACGTCCCTTGAAAAGTATGAGAGATTCATCAACCACCAGCTTTTGTGCTGGTACGTAAAAATCTCTGAATTTTCCAATAACATCGTTCATGTAGTGCCTCACTCGCCACAGTCTATCATCAGGTGTTCGGTCCTGAACACTTCCAAAATGTAGACACCTGAGGAGTATCTGAAACCTGTCTCGTGACATATATTTCCCGAATAAAGGTGTTGGTATTGTCTTGTCCTTGCTCCAATAGCCATTTATTGCATGTTTGTGACAGTGCTTCATCAACAAACAGAGTGCCAAAAACACATACATTTCCGCCACTGTGGTATTTTTCCAACGCTGCAGTCGTGAAAATTCTGTGATTTCCCTCTCAATCAGGTAAGCAGCATGCAGGTTCGTTTGGTGTACAATGTATTCCATGAGTGGTTCATCATAGAATGCTGTAAAATATTCCATCTCAGCCATGTCCTCACCTTGATTAGGGAAAAGGTTTGTAATCCCCACATCTTTATAGTCAAAGTAAGGAATATTAGGAATGAAATCGTCACCATCACTCCACTCAAGTACACCAGGCGTCCTGCGAGATGCAGAGGAAAGACGGCGAGGAAGCGATGCATACCGGCGACCAGGAGCTGAATACCGTCTGCGAGAAGCACGGCGGCTACGTGCACGTGAGGTGGGTGCACGTGAACACGAGGGTCTTGGTCCCTCATGTGGTGCCATGCGGTGGCGCTTGGCCGGGCGAGATGCTGCTGACGCGACAATTTCTCGCCCAGTTACACCACTGGTACCAGCCACAGGCTCAATAAAACTGTGATCTGAGTCACTAAACCCAGAAAAGGAGTCACCTCCCTCTGACTCGTCACCCTCAAACAGAAAATATCCACAGGAACTGTGAGGTCGTGGTAGAATTGGGGTAGAAACTGGGCGAGGAGACATCGGTGAGCGTATAGGCCTCGCCATGGCATGGCGGTCATTCTCACTTTCACTGCTGCTGCTACTATCACCCGACAACTGTGTATAATCCTCATCGTTGTCTGAATCGTCAAACACTTTCTTCACCTTCAGAGAATAATTCGTGGGCTATTTGCTCTGGGGTGAGGGACTGAGTGGTGCGTGCCCGTGAGGCGTTTGACCATGCGCTCGCCATGGTGACTCTCGCTAAACTGAGGCCTCCCATGCCTTCGGATCGTGAGCGGGAATTTTTTTCAAAATGGCCGCTGTTTACTAGAGCCCCTGGGCAGCGTATGGGACCCCCAGCTACACCGCGGGCCATTCAAATCGTGCGCGGTACCCATACACTTCATATGAAGTGAAGCGCAGTTGACTGGTAAAACGATTTACACTTCATATGAAGTGATGCGCACTTTAAGGGTTAAGGAAACTTACATATTTGTTATTACATAATTACTAGTACTTATTTCATTTGTTTTTGGCTATGATTAATTGTTCTAAAATTAATGGTAATTCCTGTACCCAGGTGGTCCCTCCCGACGCTCCCCTCCCATCCTCCCAACACCACCCACCCACCCCACCCCCTCCTCCACCATGCGTCTAGAGCCACAGGCAGATGGGATTAATACGGCCAAATTTTTATCCGGCTAAACCAGCTTTTATCCGGCTCCCATGGCCATTTTGGCTGGATATTGAGATAACTATCGGGTCACGATTTTGGCCGTATAAGGGCATTTTCCGGATGTTCAAATCCAGGATAATCGCGCGGTTACAGTAGTCTTTTTAGCTTTCTCGCCTCAATTATCGTGCTACATCATTCATTTTGGTATCAATGTGTTCGCAATAGAATTTTCTACAGGAACATAAGCATATAAAGTTCAAAACCCTGGTGTGCCCCACCCGCAACAACGCCGAAAGTCAGCCAAGCGTTATCCGTTAGCGTACACCCATTGGCACCTTACCTTGAGGCGATTCCGGGGCTCAGTGACCCCGCAGCCCGGTCGTCGACCAGGCCTCCTCGTTGCTGGACTGGTCGACCAGGCCTCCTCGTTGCTGGACTGGTCGACCAGGCCTCCTCGTTGCTGGACTGGTCGACCAGGCCTCCTCGTTGCTGGACTGGTCGACCAGGCCTCCTCGTTGCTGGACTGGTCGACCAGGCCTCCTCGTTGCTGGACTGGTCGACCAGGCCTCCTCGTTGCTGGACTGGTCGACCAGGCCTCCTCGTTGCTGGACTGGTCGACCAGGCCTCCTCGTTGCTGGACTGGTCGACCAGGCCTCCTCGTTGCTGGACTGGTCGACCAGGCCTCCTCGTTGCTGGACTGGTCGACCAGGCCTCCTCGTTGCTGGACTGGTCGACCAGGCCTCCTCGTTGCTGGACTGGTCGACCAGGCCTCCTCGTTGCTGGACTGGTCGACCAGGCCTCCTCGTTGCTGGACTGGTCGACCAGGCCTCCTCGTTGCTGGACTGGTCGACCAGGCCTCCTCGTTGCTGGACTGGTCGACCAGGCCTCCTCGTTGCTGGACTGGTCGACCAGGCCTCCTCGTTGCTGGACTGGTCGACCAGACCTCCTCGTTGCTGGACTGCTCAACCAGGCTGTTGGACTTGGCTGCTCGCAGCCTGACGTATGAGTCACAGCCTGGTTGATCAGGTATCCTTTGGAGATGTTTGTCAAGTTCTCTCTGAACACTGTGAGGGGTCGGCCAGTTATTAGGCACACCCGCAATACCCCTACAGAAATGTGTATAATCTTTTCAGATTGATACCATCAATTTTCGTGTTATGTCGTTCATTCTGGTATCAAATTGTTCACAATAGAACGGTCCAAAGGTATATATGAATATAAGGGCAAATTGAAGAGCAACATTACCAATACCAATAAGATAACGTATAAACCGCAATATCATATTTATAAAAAATTGAAACAAAGTGTCTGTTCTTATTACGCACTGATGTTTGTAGAGCATAAAGTTGAACATTCTGTTGAACCACTCCACCTGCTCCAGGAAAAGGTTTCTAGGAAGTTTCTCAACACATGTTTCATAGGTGATGTGGATTGGTGGTAAGCATTACTGCTTAACCACCCAGAATGTCCCCTTGCGATGGTACAAGCCGGAGTATGGTACAATACACAGTTCCACACCACACCACACCACACCACTTGCACTTATACTTGGTGTCCTTCCTTTTTCCAGACTTGTAGCAAATACGACACACGAGACGTTTTTTTATGGTAATCATGGAATGGTTTAAGTTCTTACTCAGACTATCTTCTGTATCCACAATATTTGTGGATACAGAATATTTGTGGTTTCTCGTAGCAGCAGCACCAGAAGGAGTAATTGGAGTCGTCTCGTCTTCCGAGTCAGATGATGAACTTTGTTTGAGATGTCGAAGGGAATAAGGGCCGCCTCACA